TTTTATTATCGTATAAAATAAGAAATATTATACGAATAAAATAGAATTGTAATAATGAGCGAAATATCAAGTTTGATTAAGTTCCGTGGGCAGCTGAAGGCGTCCGTAACAAGATTTTTAAATTTTGTAACGAAAGAGAACGTAGACGTAAATGAGGTACACGTAAGAAAAGAGAAAATAGAAGGAATCTGGAGCGAATACGAGCGAATCCAATCTGCAATAGAAGAGACGGAGGGCGTAGAGATGAACGAACAAGATAAATATCGAGAAGAGTTTGAAGATATGTTTTTTAAGGCAGTCGGAATAGCCAAAAAATTGACAGAACCAGTGGTCAATAAAAAAGAAGCGCAACCATATCATGGTATTGATGAAGATAGAACGTGCGAACGGAATGACCGGTCAATAGAAATGATAAGCGATAGTAAAAATAATGGTCGACAAATATCGCGTCCACCGATAAGATTATCGGCGTTGAATGTGCCAACGTTTTCGGGCGAATATAACGAGTGGGCAACATTCCACGATATATTTACATCGTTAATTCATAATAACGCGGATTTATCTCCAGTTGAAAAGTTTTTTTATTTACGTTCCGCGGTCACAGGGGACGCGCAGAATTGTATTCGATGTGTAGAGACTACATCAAATAATTATGAAATAGCATGGAATAAATTAAATAAAAGATATAGTAATAAAAAAGTGCTGGTACAAACACATGTAAAGTCAATGTTTGAATTAGAACCAGTCACATCTGAATCGTCGGCAAGATTGCGACAGTTTACGGATGCATTAACCAGTCATATGAGCGCACTGGAAACACTAGGTCACATGCCTAGCAATTGGGGACCTTTACTAGTGCATTTAATTGTAACAAAATTAGATAAAAATAGTAGGCGTGAGTGGGAGACAAATGCACCTAAAGAAGAAGTAGCACCGGTCGAAGTAATAATTGAATTTTTAGAAGCACGATTTAAAATATTAGAAGCAATCGAGACGTGCAAAAATATAAATAATCGACAGGGTGCGTACAAATTTAATAATCATAATAAACAATTTAATGAAAGGTCGTCGTCACTAGTTATAGGAAATAATAAAGGTTGTTATATTTGTCAAGCGCCACATACCATTTATAAATGTCCGATATTTATCGCGTTACCGGTTACAGAAAGAATAAAAAAAGTAGCCGAAATGAAATTATGTAAATTGTGTTTACGACAGCACGCCCCGAAAAAGTGTAATAGTAAGAATTGTTTTACTTGTTCGAAGCCTCATAACACCATGCTACATTTAAGTAATAATTCAGAGTTAAGAAAGTCGGAAGCAGAAAAACCGTCTGAAGATCAAGAAACAGCATCAGCTATCAGTGTACACGTAGCCGCTAACTCGAGCGACCAGGTATTATTGTCAACAGCGGAGGTGTGGGTTCAAAATGAAAGTGGCGAATCGCAAATCGGGCGTGTATTGTTAGATTCAGGTTCACAGTGCAATTTTATAACCGAAAGTATGGCACAAATATTAAAATTAAAAAAGACGCGCGTACAACATACCGTATTGGGCATTGGCGGGAAAAGTCAATACGTGAAGGCGGCTGTTGTAGTGACGATTCGCTCACGCATTAATAATTATAGTTTAACGTGTTCCTGTTTAGTTGTGCCTAAAATTACAAATGCTTTACCATCAGTAAATATTGGAGGGGTATGCATAGTACCCTCTAATATAGAATTAGCGGATACTTCATTTAAAATTCCAAAAAAAATTGATTTGTTATTAGGCGCGTGTCACTTTTTTGAAATATTATGCAAACAAAAGATTAAACCGACAATAAATGGACCAATATTTCAGGAAACTCAATTGGGCTGGGTTGTTTCCGGTTTAGTAACTTCGAAATGTGCAGATAACAAACATAATAATATAAATTGTCATACCGCGACGTTAGTAGATGAAGACAGAAGTGCTAGGTTGGAAATTATGGTATCAAAATTTTGGCGTACTGAAGAGTTTGAGGCGGCAGTGCCATATACTAAGGAAGAGAAAAAATGTGTTGATCACTTCGAAAGTACGGTAAATCGAAAGGAAAACGGTAGATTTATCGTACATTTACCTTTAAAAAATGACGCGAATATAAAAATTGGACCGTCATACGAAATCGCGAAACGTCGATTTTTAGCATTAGAGCGCCGTTTGCAACATGACGTAAAATTAAAACAAGATTATACTACGTTTATGAGGGAATATGAAACGTTAGGTCATATGGAGCTCGTAAAAAATGAAGAAAAGTTTGGTGAAACGTGTTATTTGCCGCACCATGCGGTAAAAAATGAGAACAGTAAAACAACGAAGTTGCGGGTAGTATTCGACGCGTCCTGTAAAACGGAATCCGGATATAGTTTAAACGATACACTATTGAAAGGGCCGGTTATACAGGACGAACTGTTATATATAATATCAAGATTTAGAACGCATAAATTTGTATTAACGGCAGATATACAAAAGATGTACCGCCAAGTATTAGTGACGAAGCAAGATAGCGAGAAACAACGAATTTTATGGCGCGCGGACCCCTCACTGCCAATACAAATTTATCGTTTAACTACACTTACTTATGGAACAGTACCGGCATCATTTTTGGCAACAGCATGTTTAAGGAAAATATCTGAACAAGAAACGTCATATTTAAAAGCTTGCGAGGCGATTAGAAATGATTTTTATATGGACGATTTCCTAAGTGGCGCGGAAACGATAGAAGAAGCAATAAAGTTACGTGACGAAGTAATTTTAATAATGAAAAAGGCGGGAATGACTTTAAGAAAGTGGTCATCAAATGAACCAAGTATAGTTAGTTGTATATCAGATAAAGAAAAATCGAACGGGTGTATTTTTGAAGAAGAATCAATAACGAAGATACTCGGGCTGTATTGGAACGCTAATGGTGACGTACTACAATACAAGGTAAAAGAATATAACGAAAATACTACAATAAGTAAAAGGCATATTTTAGCGGAGACTGCCGCGATATTCGACCCGATGGGACTGGTCGGTCCAATTATAGTACAAGCAAAATTAATAATACAGAGTTTATGGCAAATTCGTATTGGTTGGGACGATCCATTACCAGATCACATACGTATAGAATGGGTCAAATATAGAAAAAGTTTATCGATGTTAAACAAGCTGACTATACCACGTAATATTGGGGGTAGTCAAAAATTAACAAATATACAAATACACGGATTCGCGGACGCGAGTATCAAATGTTACGGAGCGTGTATATTTTTACGTAGTACCAATGAACAAGGAGAGCACACAGCCAAATTAATATGTGCAAAATCAAAAGTCACCCCACTTAAAGTTATATCATTACCGAGGTTAGAACTATGTGCAGCACTTTTATTGGCGCGTTTAGTGAGCCGTATTGTTCCGAAATTAAAATTAAATATCGCGAAAAAATATTTTTGGTCCGATTCAAAAATAGCACTATCATGGATAGCATCGCCATCGACAAAATGGAAGACATTTGTGGCACACCGTATCGGCGAGATACAGGAGCTATCGAACATAACAGATTGGTCATATGTTAAGTCATCGGAGAACCCGGCCGATATAATATCGCGCGGATGCGACGCAGAGCAAATATCAGGTATGAATTTGTGGTGGGACGGACCGGAATGGTTAAAAAACAACACCGAGGACTGGCCGGTGACAGGAAAAACCAGCCAAAATGATAACATAGAAATGCTACCGGAATCGAAAACAATACGAAATATAGCTCTTGTGGCGACCGGCGAATTTATATTATTCGAAAGATATTCGTCGTTAAATAAAATATTACGTATTGCAGCGTATTGGTTACGATTCAGAGATTTTTTAGTAAAAAAATCTAGTGCATCAGTCGGACCACTGAAACCAGAAGACTTAGAACGCGCAAATATTGGTCTAATTAAAAATGTACAAAATACTTTTTTTAAATCGGAAATACAAAATTTAAAAGATAAAAAGACGATAACGAAAAGTAAAATAATTCTTTTGCGACCGTTTATAGACGATAAAGGCATATTGAGAGTTGGAGGTCGATTAAAAAATGCAAGTACGATAGAGGTATTCCAACGACAGCCTATTATTTTACTAGGTGACAGTATTTACACGAAATTATTATTTCAGCGCGAACACTTAAGGTGTATGCACGGGGGCCCATTGGCGATATTAGCCTTAGTGCGATTGTACTATTGGCCGTTGAAAGCACGAAATATCGCTCGGGCGACGGTTCATAAATGTGTTACGTGTTTCAAGCAAAAACCGGTGTTCGTTGAACCCATAATGGGTGATTTACCTCGTGAACGCATAGAACCATCGCGTCCCTTTAAAGTCAGCGGTATTGATTTCGCGGGACCGTTGTTAATTAAAGACAGCTTAAAAAAGCGAGCATCACTGACAAAAGGTTACGTGTGTATTTTCGTGTGTTTTGCGACCAAAGCTATTCACATAGAGTTAGTAATCGATCTCAGCACAAAATCATTCTTAAATGCTTTAAATAGATTTTTTTGATAGAAGAGGTAAAAGCGCGGTAATCTATTCAGATAACGCTACGAACTTCGTAGGCGCGAATCGGTATTTAAAAGAAATTTATAATTTATTTAAATCTACAGAATATAATAGTGAAATACAAAAACAAACAGCAAATGATGGAGTAGAATGGCGATTCATTCCCCCGCGTTCACCACACTTTGGGGGTCTGTGGGAAGCCGCAGTAAAGTCGATGAAAAATCTGATCGGTAAAGTGCTAGGCGAGTCGCATCTAACGTACGAAGAATTAAATACTATACTCACCCGGGTAGAAGCATGCCTTAACTCCCGTCCTTTAACTGAAATGTCATCCGATCCTTCCGACCTAACATATCTTACTCCTGCCCATTTCCTAATTGGAGAATCTCTGATGGCCGTACCGGAAAGAGATGAAAGTACAATGCCGGCGAATCGATTAGACCGGTGGCGTCGTATTCGACAATACTCTCAAATTTTGTGGAAACGATGGAGCCACGAATATTTAAATCAATTGCAAGTAAGAAAAAAATGGTCAGTGGAGAGGGGCCCTACTTTAGGTGTCGGGACGATCGTTTTGATACGTGATGAAAATCTTAAGCCACTAAATTGGAAATTAGGACGGGTATTGTCGGTCCACCACGGAGAGGACGGAGTAACTCGTACGGCGTTGGTGAAAACTATGACGGGCGAGTACAACCGGGCGGTACGAAATTTGTGTCCACTTCCGTTTAATGATAATATTGGTTGAAATTTAATATGAATATTTGATTTATTATATATTTTTAGTTTCATGTATAAAAAAAAAAAAAAAAAAATATATATATATATGTAAGATATCTTCGTCTCCTTCATGTTAATTTGTAATGAGTCAAGGCCAAATGCATGTTTATATTTTTGTTAAAATTAATTTTCTTTATATGTATATCTACAATTATATTACTTAATTTTTTGTGTAAATTATATTGTTTAAATATTAAAATATTTCAAGGCGGGCGGTGTTGACGCATGATATTATTTTATATTATTATTTTGTATTTGTGTCGGTTTCGTTCGGTCTTGATAAAGGCGAAATGTGGCCCGATCCCGATAACATTATTATTATTATTATTATTATTATTATCACGGACTAAAATTATATTGTGTGACTTTGAGTCAGTCGCGTACAATCAATGTAATCGGCACCGTCTCGCCAAATTTCAATAAAGCGAGATTTTTAGTGTAAGTAAAGTGCATTGACTACTATTATTTAATCCTAATTACTCCTATCCGAGAACCAAAAAATAAAAAAAGCGTTACAGTCCACAACATGGTCCTTCGACGACGGATAGCGAGTAATTTAGATTAATTTAGAGTAAAAAGGTTTAAATAGTGCGAAACCACGTGTACGCGAACTCAATAAGTTAATAAACGATTTAATAACAAAGAGAGTTATTAGTGCATTGGAGTTGGATGTTGGCTGATTGGGGCAAGGAGCGTGCACCGTCGTCAATTCAAAAAAGAGGTAAGAGATCTCCAATTTCCTTAATACTTAAATACTTGAAATTTTTTTTATATCGTGGTAAAAATTCCTTATATCTGGGCTTTACCCGGGGTGAGAGTATAGGCGACAATATAATCGATTAGCACGTCCCTATCAGTATTTTATTTGCGACAGAAAATAGTGAACGTATATTCTCTACATCGTAAACCAATTAGTGCGTATTTGGCAAGAGAGAGATAAGATAAGTGATAGTCGACAATTAAATTTACGGTGGGCGATTGCGTTACGTCGATATTATAAAAGTTTTTTATTATCGTATAAAATAAGAAATATTATACGAATAAAATAGAATTGTAATAATGAGCGAAATATCAAGTTTGATTAAGTTCCGTGGGCAGCTGAAGGCGTCCGTAACAAGATTTTTAAATTTTGTAACGAAAGAGAACGTAGACGTAAATGAGGTACACGTAAGAAAAGAGAAAATAGAAGGAATCTGGAGCGAATACGAGCGAATCCAATCTGCAATAGAAGAGACGGAGGGCGTAGAGATGAACGAACAAGATAAATATCGAGAAGAGTTTGAAGATATGTTTTTTAAGGCAGTCGGAATAGCCAAAAAATTGACAGAACCAGTGGTCAATAAAAAAGAAGCGCAACCATATCATGGTATTGATGAAGATAGAACGTGCGAACGGAATGACCGGTCAATAGAAATGATAAGCGATAGTAAAAATAATGGTCGACAAATATCGCGTCCACCGATAAGATTATCGGCGTTGAATGTGCCAACGTTTTCGGGCGAATATAACGAGTGGGCAACATTCCACGATATATTTACATCGTTAATTCATAATAACGCGGATTTATCTCCAGTTGAAAAGTTTTTTTATTTACGTTCCGCGGTCACAGGGGACGCGCAGAATTGTATTCGATGTGTAGAGACTACATCAAATAATTATGAAATAGCATGGAATAAATTAAATAAAAGATATAGTAATAAAAAAGTGCTGGTACAAACACATGTAAAGTCAATGTTTGAATTAGAACCAGTCACATCTGAATCGTCGGCAAGATTGCGACAGTTTACGGATGCATTAACCAGTCATATGAGCGCACTGGAAACACTAGGTCACATGCCTAGCAATTGGGGACCTTTACTAGTGCATT